CGCAACGGAAGGGGCTATTCGCCCTCTGGGAGGAGAGGAGCTTATTTTGACTAGAAAGACAGATTTTCGGAATTGTGATATGTCTCGTTTTTGGGCGCTACATACCCATCATAGGCGCCCAGTATTTTAGGAAAAGTTGGTAAAGTTTTACAAGAGGTAATACGTAGATTGTGAAAGAGGATCTAGAAAAGGAGAAATTGGGGCGAGGGGGCTCGTGTTCAGCAAAAGTTTTCCACAACGCAATGATGTTACCCTGCTCAATAGCCACAATGATGGCTTACCTGCACACTCTTTAGCGGTTCAGGTATTGTCAGTGTAGGTAAGTTGATCAATGGTGGTGGATAAAATCTCCGACCTATTTCCATTGGAATATCTCTCAGATAGTCTAGGAAATACATAAAAATTCAAAAGGAAATCGGAAAAGGTAAAAAGCTCCAAAGAAAAACTCACCTTGAAATGTGTTCGAATAACTCATTCCACATCACTGGCTTGAAGTCATCGAATATATCAGCGATTCGTCGCCACTAATGATCTAGAAACTGCAATGACTCACACAACTCTCCTGACTATCAAATCTAACTTTTTCCGAGTTTTAGAAACCCCAATGAAGGCCAACAAAATTACCAGCAGTTTACGTGATATCGACTGATAAAGAACACTACCTTTTCGTGTCAGTAAGAAGGCCCAGAAGTATTTACAAAATCGAAATAAACTTGTTGTTGAAGGACGCCCAAGTTTCATCTGCTTATGGCCCTAAAACGATATCAGGGCCGAGTTTTCAGTAAAACTCGTCCAATCTACTCCGCCCTTCGTTTGTTCGATGTGCTGACCACTTTTTACGAAACAAACACGGGCATAAGTGGGGTTCGAGGCGCTGTTCGAGTAAGAAGGGGCAATTCATGCTGAAAGTTCCAAGTAACATTCAGAGAATTCTTGTTCAAGGCCTAATAACAAAGCGCTTCGCTCCTAAGTGAGTTTGATTGCGTTGTGCAAAAGGTCGTGGTTTCAAATGCGTTGGATGCATTGCACCAAAGTGGTTCACCTTTTTTGATTTTGCGCCAAATTTTATATAGGTTTCCAATTTATTTTTAGTTTTATTCTCGTTTGCATTCATTATCAGGCTTGTAATAGCCTCCAGTACTTTAAAGCCCTCCAGATTTGTTTTTGCCTTGTACTAGCGCAATTCCTTTTTATTTGGTTCTACTTTTTTGTTTTATTATGAAAAAACGAAATGTTAAGCCTACTGTCCGGGTACAAGCATACTTTTTTAGCCTTTCTTCCTTGAAGCATTTGTTTGCTGATACCTTCTTTTATTTCTCTTCTTGTGTACAGTTGTATATCGTGCGTTGATCTCCTGCGGGGTCGTATTTGTCGCTGAAAGGAGGGGTTTGTACCTTATCATGTAAGCATAACCCCCCCACATCAGTAAACGGCCAGTTTTTGGAGGCCGTAGCAGACGGTGATCCAGAGGCGATGGTTTGAAAAGGGGTAGGGTTCGTAGTTCTGTTGATATTTTTCAATACCGCAGGACATGCTCCGCTTGCATCAACACTCAAGCCATCCACTCTCCAATCTTTCCTGTTTGTTTTTATGATCATACCTGCAGGCTTCCTTGTTAGGATTGCCTTTTTGCGGTAAAGACCATTGGTTCCTAGGGTTTTAATATGTATGGCCGCGTTCATACATGATGCAGAAATGCCGAACCGCGGAGTGTGCAGAACTGCGGAATTGGGAAAACGCGGAACTTGCACGTCCTATCGGGGTGGGGGAGACCACACGATCCACCTGCACCTCTCTGTCTCTTCCCCAAGGTGCTGCAGCTCGTACACCCCGATAGTTGATGCCGTTCCAAGTATTCCCTATGTATAAACCAAAAGTTTGAAAACAAGAAAGAATTTGAGACGCTGTCTCACTTGGGAAATGATCCCATGCGCAGCGTTTTCTACCACTGATTGTTTTCTTCTTCTTGATTGCACCACAACTGATTGTGAGCATATAAACTATATCAGCATGGTTAGCTGAACCACTTGCCATTATAGCATCTACAAGTAGTAGACCCCGCCCACGTAGATGTCGATTTCCGTGAAGGTATGGTTTTCTGATTAAAAGGGAAACGGAACAACGAGAGAATCGTAGCTTATGGTTGCGATCAGGGTGCAGCATCGTGATGTGTGAAATGGCAGTGTTAGTACGACCCCCCCCCCCGAAAAAGGATCCTGTTCTAGGACCCCCTCCCTTTTTCCGGCTCGAACTGTTTGCTCTGATGAGAAAGATAAGATACATAACGACTCGAAAGCGCTTGCACGACTCGAAAGCGCTTGCAGCCGCGTTATGATTCCATGGCAAGTTAGCGCTGAAGAAAATCTCTTGGCCGAATGAAAATCACGGTGCTTTTTCTGGAGGTGATAGCTTTTTAGGTATGGGGCTTTGAGGAACGGAAAGCGGCAAAGCAGTGTCTCAACTGTTGCTTCCACCTACTCGCAATCTCAATATTCCCCGTTCGTGAAGTATTTCGGATGGATGACGGACGCAGCAGTGGTAAATCGAGCGAGTTTCTGTGTTTCAGACGAGAATAACTTTTTTCGAACGCTATTTTTTGCAAATTGAAAACGCCAGCAGAACGCCCAATATTCTCTCTTTCCAACAAGCTCTACAGTTTTCCTGAAGACCCGCTAGTTTAGAAGATATTTCAGATGGGTCACCCTTGGGCGACATTCTGAGCCACTCAAAAGCTCGACTCCTTCTGTGCCATTGTAAGGATACTCATTCGCGAACTTCATGTGCCTTCAAAACACATATTACTGTGGGTTGTCATTGATCGATTTGGTCCGAGTGTGCGCCGTGCATTACGCTTCTACGCAGAGGTGGTGGAAAGGTGTAATTCTGATTTTAGGTGCTTTTTGTCCATGCAAGCAGATGTTTGTTCAGGGTTTGGAAAGGTCGATACGCACGAATCTGTTTGAGATGTATTATTTAGTCATCTACGTACTTACGAGTTCATGCTAACTATTGATATTGCTAATCAATTGTTTTAATATTTTGTAGTCTTCCTTACATCCGGGTCCTCTGCAGCTTTCCGTCCGCCCCACAATTAGCGACGACATTTTGTGCTGTTTGGTGCTCACGACCCTACTTTTACGATATCCCCCTCCCCAGCGGCCAAGTACTACCCCCTTTCCCCGATGAGTTTTGCACATCGATGCTGTACCCTGCTAGCGAAAAAATCCTTCGCAGTAAAAACCGCTCAAGAAGGTGGGTGGTGCCCAGGTTAAATGTTAAGTTGTGTGTTAATGCTTCTTTCCCCCAACATCTACCTCGTTTTTCTCTCTCTGTCCAGCTCACTGATGAGCAAGGATTATGTGCCAGGGTGCAGTAGTGTGATGGGGAGCTGACGGTGGCAGTATCATTTGTTTGCCTATTGCCCCTCGCCTCGCATCCCCAAGAGTGCAGTCGTTAAGCAATTCATCTACCAAAGTAGGCAGTTGTTGCATAGTATTCTGCGCTCGATATTAGAGCGCGATTTATACCGCAGAAACGGGGATATCGGAAAAAGACAACGTCTAGAAGAAGTTTTTTGGGGCTCAGAGATAGATCGAATGTGACTCCCTCACCGTCAGGATTCTCCCAACAATGTTGTACTCTGTCTGTGAAAGATGTCGGAGAACTCTATTATTCTGATATTTTTTCTTTACTATATCTGTTTTTCTTCTTTTGATTGGAAGTAATATTTTCTAGGGGTTACTTGCGATGAGAGGAGGAAGTTTACAGAGGCCGAACTGCCCGCTCTATATGAGCACTAACACTTCTGAGACACTTCTTCTTGCCTCTTATTCCCCTTTTCATAATTTTATGTTTTGGCGTCCCATCGTTATGGTTTGCTGTTGTGTTCCAAGTAATTCTCACCTAATTACCTTTTTCAAGTTTTGCATATCTTCCGCTTACCATGTTCTGCTACTATTTTCGTTTTGAAAAGTTTTTTTATGCTAATAACTCTCTCCACTTTGCAGGATCACCACTCAAACTACCTAGAAATGATTGACCTATGTAAGGTCGTGAGTGGCCTTGAGCTAAGTCCAGAAGCCGAAGATGCAATGACAGCGTATTCGGATGATCTCCTGGATGCGGTTAGTGATCTTTCTCTTTAAGCTACCTTACCTTTTCGCGTGGTGGTAAACCAAGTTCCATTTTTTTTAATCTGAGGAATATTGTCTGCAGAAGGCTTCATAATTTCCGTCTTGTCAGCGTTTAGCGTTCTGAGCGGTTAGGACTGTATATTTATCGATCCAGCATTTTACGTGTCCTCCAGTGTTTTGAGCATTTCGAGCATTCGCTTTTTTTTTTCTTTTTTGAATGTTCCGAGAGGAGCGCTCAACACGTTGGGTTGGCATCTACACTTTTTGAAAACGCCCGTGGGAGGCGCTAACCGGATTCTCATCCTAGTCCTTTGTAGCGCATTCTTTCAGATCATCTCCTCATTCACAAAGTATGAAGGGAATCGTAAGTGAGACGGCAAGAGCGGCCCTGATGGCGTAACAGAAAAGCACTGCGGAAAGCATGAGATTGGGGCTCATGTCCCAATCTCATGCTCATGCCTGGGGTCAAGACTTCTGCCAAGAACTCAGCATTCTTGCGAAATTTTTCTCAAAACATTCCATTTGAGAATCCACTTCACCTTTTCTTTCTTGACCTTACTTTCTACTTCTGATCCTTCTGTATGTGCGTCCATTTTGACTGAATAATTATGTTTTCAGTTGATTGATGCGATTTGTCTGGAAACTAAGGAGCGAGGCGCTTACCGTATAAACGAGAGCGATGCGTTGAATTCTGTGAAAGCTGTGTCATTGTTTCCCGCTAGAGTGGTCAGTTCTTTCTCCGATTTTTTTCTCTCTGTTTATTCGCTTATTGGCACTGTAGAACCATTGCTACCGCAAAATTCCAAGAAAAACTTGAAGGAAAATGTTTTGCCTGTAGGTGTATTATGTTCTCTTATTAAGGATATGACATTCGTTTTTAGCTATTGACGCTAATTTGGTGTCCAATTGGGCGACCTTTCTAACTAGAATCGAGGGGAAGCCTGTATACCTGGGGTTATTTGGCATCCTGATTAAGAAATGACATTCGTTTGTAACGCTAGTGCCATCTGGCGTCAATAGGCGCCAATTTGGGCCACCGCTTTTTTTTCACCGAAAACGATATAAACCTGCTGCACTGTGGAATTATTTGGTCCTGATTACGAATATAGCATTCATTTTTGGCGCCAGAACTAACATAGCCCACTCTGGTTATTTGCGCTCTGCTAGGCCTGAGCCAGGTGAATCACTACATGTCACAGACAGCCTCGGCAAAGCGAAGAGTGGCGCTGTTGTTGAAAAAAATGCCATATCGTTATTAGGGCATCAAAGAACCCTATTGTGCAGGTTTGTACCCATTCTAAAAAAAGTGGTATCGCCAAATTGGCGCCTATTGACGTCTTATGGATCCAGCGTCAAAAGCGAATGTGATATTGTGACTAGGGCACAGAATTACCCCCAAGGGCAACGTTTGGGCGAGTTTTTTTTTGTAGAGTTCTTAGGGGAGTAATAGTTCAATAGTGCCTTTTCTTTCATCACGTTATTTTACGTTTGAGAGTGAATATTTAGGTCCCTCGAACAACACTGAAGATTTTCGCGTCTAAATCAAGACCAGATGATGAAGCACCTCCATGTACTCGGCCAGCAGTT